TTGCTCATGTAGAAGTTACTGTGGGATAGAGACTGTGTTGTATCGGTTTAAACAGTTCGAACTCATGCCCATTTTGCCCATTACCTGAAACTGTACCACATGCTTTTTATGCTTGTCCATGTCTTAAGCAGTTGTGGAGATGGACGGCTGGAATATTTTTCTTATCCTTCATCTCTCTCAATACAGTGTTGTTTTAATGCCCCACTTCCAGTCGCAAAACAGTTGAAATTTTCTATGTTGTTCTTTCTAAACGAAGTAAAATATGCGATTTGGTTATCCAATTGCAGAGGACTGTATGATTCGAACATTGAACCAATACACTAAATAATGAAAAAGGTTCGAGCCTCAACATGAGCCAGAATATGAACTGATAATTGAAGGTTAAGTGCTGCAGATTTTGAGAAACTTTGATGTAGTAAAGCATCCCTCTCTTTCAGTTGTGTGGGGAAGGGATAGATAGATATTAAGTTCTAAGTTTTTGAAAAAAAGTTCTTTTTAAGTTTAAAAACACATTCATAATTTTTAGTTATATGGCAGAATTTAAATTGTCACATATGATTAATTATTGTCATAACATTGACGTGCACTTTGGGTATGAGAGAGATGTTTTTATTCTATACTCGTTCACCTAATTTCTTATAAAAAATTTCTAGTGCACAGAGCAAAACTTTGTGGATAAATTAAGTGTTAGTAAGTGACACGTGTTAGTTACTCTTTAATTACATGGTTACTAAGTTCTAAGTTAAGTAGATAGTCAGTTTACTCTTTTGCCACAAAAACAAGTGGAATTAAAGGGTCTTGGTCACTATATCCCAGATTGATGGCTAGGGCAATTGGATCACAATGTTATATATAGATATACTCTTGATTGGATCCCAACCTGTAGCCATAGAGTGATGCATTCTGAACCATTGGAATCACGATAAGAATGTACGCAACCTCTAAGCAGACAAACCTTCTCCTACACCTGAAGAAGCCCGAAAGGGAACACCCCAGGCTCGGAATGACGGGATTGTGTATGCCTTACTCAACCAAAGGAACAGAACTCATCTGTTCTGGAATTATGAACATTAATCCTCACTCCCCAACCACGTGGGTTAGGAGCCTTCCACTTGCCCTTGGAATTATAGAAAGGATGTGGAACAACTGTGCTCAACCAAGGACCCAGAATGGGGGCCACTCTGCATTCAGAATTATGAGGAGATAGTGGACCTCCTTCCATGAACAATATACTGATCAAAAAAGAAGGGCCATGAACATCCCAACCAGATAGCTGAGCGTCAAATCTGAACTGGTATTATGAATAGGCTCCTGCATAGGCTGGTGCCACTTCTACTGACATCTGGGAACAAACATCCAGGGATCCAGATAGGAGGGCCCCCAACTTCGCTCTCTTCTCTAAGAGTGGAGGAATTCATTCTAATACTCTGGAGGAAAAGATTCTGTCCACCACCCCAATGAATGGAAACTGGGTGTGGTAAGTAAGGACTCCCTAGATCTACTAGTAGAATCTGGTTGTGTGTGTGTGTTGGGGGGGGGGGATAATGCACATTAGGGAGCCCTGAGGAACAGTGCACTGAAAACAGTGCAATAGGTGAACCAAGTCCCCTAAATTTGTAAAAGCAAACCAACCCAATTTATTCAATCTGAGGATCGACAGGGACAGGCAGAATCCCATTTAGCTTTACTCATTATAGTCCATGAGTGGCAGTCCAGCAAAGTATGGTAATACCACCTGGTGAGCTCCTAGGTGGTCTTCAAATGAACACAGATTGAGGAATGATTAACTTGTGAACCATGGAGAATTTATGCACTGATATAGACAAGGAAGATCGACGACTAGACACCAATTGCCTGTCTTCCCAACTCTCTCACTACCCCTAGACCAACCAGACTCAGATAACCTTAAAACTAAGTTCCAAATTCTGATGAACTCCGAGAGACAGAAATGCTACAGACTGGGTGGATAATAGTAGGGAAGATGTGAACTTAACAACCAATTGTGACCCAAGGACCTGCAGAGTTTCTGGACTGATGGTTAAGATTACCACACATCCAGAAATTCTCGGAACCGAGCCCCCCACAGCTCCTGAAGGTATAAAATAATCAAAGACACTGCTGGTGATCCGACTAAGTAATGGAAACCTTAGATATAGACAGAATCTGTTCTGAGTACCAATGTACCGAGGAGTCAATGTCGGGGATCGGTACTCACAAATAGGGGCAGAACTATGGCCCCCCTGTAGGGGCCGATGAAATTCGAGATACCAAGAACAACTGAGAGGAATGTAGAAGCCAAACATTGAATCCACATGCATGCTAACAATGGATCCAGCTCGATCTCAATGAAACTGGTGATCCTGAAAGTCTTCTAACAAAGTGAAGTGAGAGGAAACAAAATGGTGAAGTTGAATTTTAAGTGCATAGACTTACTCTGTCCCATCAGGGGACATAGAACTATATGTGAACCACAAACTCTGCCTCAGAACCCGAAATTCAAGGAGCAGATATTACATGAGTCGGAAAAATGCCTCCACTTGGTGGTGGTAGTCGAAATCACGATGTTCCAACAACGTGTCAGATAAGACCTTACTGTTCCTCCAAGTAATGAAGAAGTAAACCTTCCAGCATGAATCACAATATCCGTGTATGGAGAAAAAAAATTCGCACTGCGACCTTACAGCCATTAATTAATTTGGAAGCTGAAAAGCAACCAGGAAAAAGCCCAAACATCACACACTCTAAGAATCAACAGAAGAAAAAAAATAAAAGGCAGTTTATCCCAAAGTGGCCTCCATTTTGTTTTTCATAGGTCAGTTAAAGACCGTGGTAAAGAAAGTTGTTCTGTTAGACCAAAGCAACTGCAGGCCACCTTCTACATCCACCTTAGGGAATCGAAAGCCGGTGCTGTGAGTCCGTAAACTTATCACAGACCAACAGGGGAGTTGAAAATCCAACAGGATCAAAAGAAGGCACAGGAGAAAGCAAATCTAAAGATACTCCAAAATGTCGAGGATCAATCTCAAATGCAGCTTTAGAGCTCCCTGGAGGACCATCACAGACCTGAATATATTTCTCCATCTCACTATGAATACGATCACTGACTGTCTCAACCGAGAATCGCCCCCCCCCCTCCAACTGTTGTGCGACACTAGATATCAGAGGTGGAAGAGCAGAGACCCAATTGGTCTCTGTATCAGAAATAATAATCCGGGAATTCTTACCATAATCAACTTGCCATAATCGGAAGAAAGATTTATCTTTTTGAAATAATAATTAAACGACTCGAAAATCGCGACCAAGGACGTTAACTATCGCAGCACTTCTGTAAAGAAATCCATCTAAATGCTTTGTTGAGAAAAAGTGATAAAATGATAAAAAGTTATATCTGAATGAGGTGCTTATATACAGTACCAGGAAAGAGGGTGCATTGATATAGGTGGAGATTATCAGGAGGCAAATATTGCCAAGGTCAATTGAGTGTGGTATAAAAGAGAGAAAAATCAGAGTAATGTACCCATCTAAGTTAGGAATTAATGCTGGTATCCCATGTCCATTCCATGTACAAAAAATACCACATGAGAGTCATAATCGGTATATATCATACTTACCTTCCAAATCATAAGACTGTCTATCCCCAGTCGTGTTAACATTTTTCTTCAGCATTAGGGGCTGAAGAGAAACAACAGTTTCTGAGCACCCCTTCAGGGCTTGTTAGATATAAAAACAAAATTACTGCCATGTTAGTTAGTTAGAAAAAGTCAGACTAATGCTTAGATGGGCAAAGAAAAAACCCTGGCAGTCGAGTAATAGCTGTAAGTCGCAGCAGAGGTAAGTATGTTTTAGAACAAGAGTATGTCTAGACTTTGAAATAGAAGAATTTCTTGGATCCTGATTATTAAACTTAGCAATGTCCAAAAACAACATGGGAGTAAGAGTTTTAAGTTAAAAAAATATGGAATAAATATTTACCTATCTATATATATGTGGACATTCACTGTTATATTTTATCTTGTTTTGAAAATGCTGCACAAAACCAAAACATCATGTACAGTTTTTTTTTAATAAAAGGTTTAAATTTTACTAAATATTCTTAATAGATTTTTTTTGCAACAAAATAAAATCACTTAAAAATAAAATCATAATCATATTACACCAAAACAATAGGAAAAGGAAATTATGGATCAAGTTTAAAGTGTCAAACAGCAACAAGCTTGCTTGAATATACTTATGACTACATAACTACGTTTTACCTAATAGCAGTAGCTGCATGTTTATTTGATTAATACAGTCTGCTCCACAAAGGTATGACACACACACAAATTATTTTTAAGAATAATAAACCACAGACAAAATATAGCATAGTATGTACAACTCAAACTATGCATAACTTTCATACTTGAACTTCTCTATATACAGTTTATTTTCTTTTGGAAGATCTTTGAAAAAATGTAAATTATTAAATGAAAAATAAGTATTTTTATATCATAAGATGCTTAAAGATACTAAGAAACTATCAAGTTTGTCAAATAATTCTAAATAGTGCAACAGAGAAAAAATATCAGTCCTTGAAGAAGAATATTTATCTTTTTCAAAAACTGTAAATAGCATTTTGAACCCTTGAGTGTCTTTAGTACAATTTTTTTAATACCTGTTCTTATTCTTTCTCATTTATTCTAATTAAAAATTGCCACCAGGAATTTCCTGTATTTATTGAAAAGTCACAAAACTGCATCTCAAAACTCTAGCAAAAAATAACAAATAAACACATTATTTCTTTGGTGCTTCTATGATTGCACAACTGATTTAACAAACTTGGTCAAGTTGTACTAGCATAGCAAGAAGAAAAAGAATACAATACATTTAGAGTTGCTGATCCTGATAATTATCGCTGTGCAGTTCCTCACTCAGTATTCCATTCCTAAGTAACTGTTTTTACTTTGCTTTTTAATACTTATTAAAACAGTCAAAATTTCTATCTCAGAGCTACCATCACTCACATTTCTTGATCTTAGTCATGTCCAGCCTGATCCCGAGAAACTTCATCTTCCTCATTGTTTTGTAACTGGATTACAAAAAAGCATGTTCAAGAGACAAAACATAAAACTAAAATTATGATAACAGAAGAATCTTGTTAAGACCTTGATCACAAAAGCAGTCACACCAACATTTGGGAACAAATCAGCAAAATTATTGTGGCGTTGAAGAATTATTTTGATATTTTTATGAAAGCACAACAAATTGTAAACATATGGTGATTTTGTTAAATAATAGCTTCAAAATTAAAAAAGCTACAAGCATTTAAAGTGTGCAGCCCAAAATAGTAGGGGACTAGGTGGATTGTCACATATCACAAAAATAGCATATTATAATTACTTAAGATCATTTTTGGAGAGTTTTAGTTTTATACCTTGACCATTTCTATTATTAAAAGTTACAGCATCATTTACCCTCTTCTGAGTTTCCATACAGTTGCTAATGAAACACTAAATTTGGGCACCTAAAACTCTGATTTCTACACATTTGTCATTTGGATGCCATAAATACTTTCATCACACTAATTCTGGGAATTATAGTATGACTATCTTTACATTTACAGGCTCTATGTTGGTGGCACTGTCTGATTGGTTGAATGACAGCCAAGCATATATGTAAGTGTAAACTATCAACACAGTAGATGAGGAGCAATCCCAAAATATTTTATTTTATACATATTTTATTCACTGTTTCACACAATTGTTTCAAATACTATATATGTCTATTCATTAGCAAGACCAAAAGTTTGAAGCATGCTATAACTAAAGGATTCAAATTATACATCCAAGCATACACACACACTGAGCTTAAAATTATGGAGTTTCTAACCAAATTTAATAATTTATTGTTAAAACTTTTAATAACCATGAAAATTTTTTATCTTTTGGAATAATTTTGTACATTTCTAACTAGAACACATTGTATTATGAAGACTTATTCTCAGCTGTATGTTGAGACTAGTGAATTTTGTAAAGTAATTCACAAACTCATTCTGAAAGCATGGACCTTTCTGACAAAGAATGCCACCAAAAATATCTTCTGCAAACAACCAATCTTTAGTTTATTAATGAGGTTATTCTCCTTCAAATGAACTACACATTTAAAAATTTGCCACATGATTGGTTATTTTATGACAGCATATCTTCTTTGTACACACAACCACACACATGTAGGCCATTCAAAATCTGATTCCACACAATTCCATATTTAAGTTCTTTGTGTACATTTTGCAGATTCTCAAATTACACCTTAAGTATCAAATCCATGCAGCTTATACTTTCAACATGTTCATTCAGGTCATATTTCATAGATATATCTCCAATTTTTGACAACTAATCAAACATGCAACCATGAGTACTACCACAATATCCACTTATATGACACCAAAATAAAATCCAGAGCATGATAATGAAACTTTTTTCTGAAAATATCTAGTGGAGGTCTATATTTAAATGCTGAATACAAAGCAATGTAAATATTTCATGACTTCTTTTTTTAATATCAATTTAGAGCATTGATAAATCTTATTGATTAATAAATCTGCAGTAATAGGAGGCAGTTAACACTGTCACTAATGATATTATGAAAAACTAGCATAAAGTTTACTCACATTTCTATTACTATAAAAGATACTTAACATTCAGTATTGTGGTTTTCTGAATGATATCTTTAATGAAAACAAAAACAACTAATTGGAAGTTAAAGTTCTGTTATATATATTTTTTTAAATTAATTAAACAGTCATAAAGGCAACTGTTATTAATAATTGAATGTTTAAAAAACATTTAGAGAAATCATAATTTTCAAGTGTAACTTTAAATCAATCACATTGCTTACCTCTTTTGTTTGAAAAATATTTTTTAACAATTCTATTTGATGATACTGTTTATTTATAAAATCTATCAAATTTGCCTGATAAAACTTGGAGATAAGGCCACAGATTGAAATTCAAAAGATGCTGCTATATAATTTTTTATTAAAAACAACAACAAAATGTTTAATCTATTATTGCATGATTTATTACACTTTGAACATTACCTGATCATCAAAGTCAGCATCTTTAAAAACTTTCCCATGATCAAGTCCATCTTGGTTACCATCTATCAACTGATTATTGTCATCAACAACACCTAAATCTTGGTCATCACCTTCATTTCCATCTCCTGAAAAAATATATACTGCTTATCTGGTAAAGGCATAAGATTGAGGAATATAGCTTGTTTGGAAAAAATGGTCTTGAGGTGCTTCTTTGGTAAATCATATTTCACTGAGTAATATACAAAAGATGGCAAAACCATCTTTGAAAAGCATGGAAGTGTTGATAAAAAAACAGACTTTGACATAAGCCCTATAATTTACAAAGGTACACATAAAAACATTAAAAAGTCATAAACTTGAACATTCCTGAATAACTAAGGAAATAAAATCAAAGTTTCCAATACAGATGTTATATATTAACAACTATTAAACTGATGTTTCTTGAGCTGGCTTACAAAAGGTTAAAATAATCACAGGAAAACTACCAGTTTTCAAAAAGGTTTAATTCCTGATTTTGTCATAGATATACTTATGTTATTTTTTATGATACCTTAACATGTTTGTAGTCATACCATTGTAATCGTAGTCATGATCTCTGTCTTTGCTTTCAAGATGATGTTTTTCTATATTGCTCATTTTAACTTTTTCTTTTTGTGGTCCACTATTATTATATTGCTTTTGGAACATGTCATTCTGAGGCTGATTATTGTTGTAGGGTTTTTGGATCACAAAACTATTCTTTAGTCCACCACTGTTGTATAGCTTTTGGATAAACTCGTCTTGAGACTGATCATTGTTATATGGTTCTTGGATCACAACATCCTTCTGAGACTGACCATTATTGTATGGTCTTTGAAGCACAAATTTACTCTGTATTAAACCATTGTTATATGATCTTTGTGGGACATCATTCTGTGGCTCAGCATTGTTGTGTGGTCTTTGTGGGACATCATTCTGTGGCTCAACATTGTTATGTGGTCTTTGTTGGATAACATTCTGTGCCTCAACATTGTTGTGTGGTTTTGGGGACAAAACATAATTCTGTGACCCAGCATTATTGTATAGTTTTTGAGTCACATCGTTCTTTATGTCAACATTGCTGTGTAGTCTATGGATTGCTTTATTCTGTTGCTCATTGTTGCTGTATGGAGTTTGGATAATAAAATTATTCTGATTTAAACTTACTCTCCATCTATGATCCAAATTATTTTCATGAATGAGTCGACCACTATCAGTATTTACTTCTCTCTGAAAACTCTCACGTTTTTTCATGCCTTTTCCATTATTTCTTACCCAATGAGGTACTGGTAAATATTTTGAAGTCCAGCGTTTTTCATTGATTTTTAAATCTTGACTACGGGGTCTCAGTAGAAGAGGTTTGGGAATAACATTCAACCAGTACTCATTGGTAGCTCTGTTGCTATTAATAGAGTGCACTGGAAATATATTCTTTTTTAAAAAGTAATCCATGGAAGAATGGTGTGGTGTTTCCACTTGTTTTCTTTTTTCTCCTTCTTTGTGCTAATGGAAAATGAAAGCATAACCTGAAGTTATTCAAAGAAGTATTGTTTTTTTCTTTACAAGTATTACACTTTTAAGCTCTATCAAGTCATGATAATAGCTTAATACAATAGATAATTTCAGGTATATATATATATATATATATATATATATATACTACACTAGTAGTGTGGTTAGGTTAGGTTAGGTCGGT